AAGGCTGATTAAAAAAAGGTCGGACTGTGCCGGAAAAATATAAGGAGGCAAATATATATTTTTCACATTAATAACTCCGTTTATGTTCGCTTATAAACCGAATCCAATTGTAAGCAATACAGACCCGTATCTGCCCTTGTTTGGAGTAATCAGTAGAAAATAAGAACATAGATTCTGATTAGCCGGTGCATTACGCGAAGACAGATCAGGGTCTATCTTGTATGCAGTTTAAACTGTCTTATAAGCAAGTACATACAAGAGTTAATGTAGTAACTGAAAACTATAACTCCCAAATGCATTTGAACAATGATGTCATGTGATTATAATTTTTAACGTAGCTTTAAAAAATTTCAGTCATATTGCTAGGATGTCTGGATTGTGGTAGTTTATAGTGATGTCTAGCACTGTGCATCATGCCGCAGACATGTAACATGATATCCCACCCAGTCACATTATCTGACACAAGGTCGACCAGTCCTAACACTAACCTCATTACGCTGAGTGCCTAGCAAGGCAGCTGTTAGTACCATATTTTAAGAGTAATTAATTTGTTCCAGTCCCTGTCTCTCTTTTGTAAACGTCAGCAAGTTTGGTTTTGATTGGTGCTTGACGGTGCAGCAACACAAGTAGGTTATTTAGTGCTGAGGCAATGGAGTATAGTGCCTTGCTCAAAGACTCAAAATGGTAGCTGAAACAAGCTGGTCTGATGGTAGGGTTCGAACCAGCACCTTTCGTTCGCGTGTCCGGCACACTAACCACTGAGCCACCGCGACTCCCAAACATCAGCAAGATTTACTGTCATTCAGAATCAAACTTAAGGGAAAGGACCATATATTAAATTTTGATCTGAACTGCAATAACGAAATATAGTAAATATATCTAATGATATAAATTAAAAAATATCGTTATCAAACTCCATTAAAATGTGAAGCTCCATTCACAGCCAACTAAATATCTGTAAAATCTTTCAATGTATGGATCAGTTACACTTTGGAAATCTAACAATGCTGAAGAATGAAAACCCCACAACATAAACAAAAAAGGGTAAACGTTGTTCATCATGCAAATCAAACTCGGTGGACGTTTGTACCTAAATTAAGATCTAGTGTAAATGCATATGAATGTTACGAGTACGCTTGAATCAACAGTACACTTCATTGGCGGTGCCGTAATTATTTGCGAAAAGTTTTCTTCCCAAGCTTACCCACAAGGTGCCGCGCGTATAACGAGAGTAGCCCAATAAAAATTTTCCTTAAGTTATGACTGTATCAACTTGTTAATCAGGAGCACAGGCAGGATATTTTTTCTTTTTTGGGTGGGGGGATGGGCAAATATCCAGTGTCCAGCTATTATTTATTTACGAACGTAGGCCAAAACGTGTTTTGTAGTGAAATCAGTTCCAAGGGGGGGGGTAAACACTCTTCCTTGCACCTTTGTGCGGACGCCTATGATGTGAATAGCAATCTGAATATTTGTTTAAAAAATGTTCGACATTTTTTGTTTAATTTTCCGTTTAAAATACGATTCAGGCGCGAGTCGTTTCAAGCAGGTATGTTTTTGAAACAGGATGTTCCTAAACCTGCATGGTTGAAGATTTTTTAATAAACACGTCAACGCGATTTTCATTCATGTGCATTGTGCTAACTTTTAATCCAGTTTTGGCAGTGTACTGACCAAAACCAAAACAACCATGCCACTCATGACCGTTTTTAATATATCTATTTCTCCATTCAAACAGTGTGGGCAGACTTCAAAAAAGGGAACGCATAACAAATACAAATACAAAAAGGGAACTCATAAGATAAAAAAAAACAAATATGGTGAAATAACTATTGCTGATAGCTGTGCAGAAAGGAAAACCCCTATTATCGCACTTGTAAACACGTGAGCGGTCGGTGTTCATAATTTTATAAAGACATGTTTTCGGCGAGTAATTTAAGTTAATTAACCTGTGTTAATAAGACCTTTAGAGACGCGATGGATCAATGGTTAGTATGCTCGACTCACGACCGAAAATGTGCAGGTTCGAATTATACCGTCTGACCATCCTGGTCACCTCACCTACCTCACCCACCTGTCGTGCAAACCTCTTTATTAAAACTGCCTCTGAATTAAATAACCTGCTTGTGTTGCTGTTCCATAAATCAACAAGCCAAAACTAAGACCTTCAGTACATTAAACATTTTTTTTTTATAAGGATAAACACAGTACCCTTTTAACCACTGGTGATTCGATTGGGAAATTGTCTAACTGAATTTTCGTCTCGTTCTCTTTACGAGTAGAGTTTGGTAAGAAATATTATCACTCGCTTACTCTATCTTACTTTGAAAAAATTCTTGTTTTCGTATAATATTAAAAAAGAACAAAACTGGAAAAGAAATACTAATAACAGTTTATGGATAGGGAGAATGGGAAATCAAATTAAAAACTAATTTTAAATACATAGCGAACAAAAGCATCGAAACAACCATAAATCATAATCTAAATGAAATACAAATAAATTAATACAGTGTGCAGTTTTATTATAAAGGTATACCTTCCTACACGTTTATTGGCATACCGAGTGCACCACACTGGGTCTTGTCCACCTTACTATTATCTAGCACTGACGCATCATGCTGCAGATATGTAGCATCATGCCCCACCCAGTCACATTATCCTGACACCAATTAACCAGTCCTAACACTAACCTCTTAATGCTGAGCGTCAAGCAAGGCACCTGCGTCTACATATTTTACTTGGAACATACTACTATGCTTTTAAAGTTCATCATCATGCAACAGAGATATTATAAATATAAACAACAACAACTTGTATATCAGCTAAAGTATATTTCTGCTAACTTATAAACATCGCATGGTGATTTTTTCGAAACAGTATACATGTTTTGTATGCACTGATTATATCGCCATATTTGTATAAAAGACCAATTAATAATCGTCACGCTTATACGGAAGATGTAACTTGGCTCAAGCTGCCATATGGTGCATAAAATTTTGATTTTCAAGGTCATGTCAACAAGTACTTACCTTAATGCTTTACAGCACGTCAAAGGCAATATCACCCATCTTGATCTGACACGATCGTTATCAGTATTTCTATGTAATATAATCCACAGGGAAAAAAAGGATGCTTTGTGTAAACCAAGCGTAATCCTCAGTACGCTATTTCAGAAATGTAGATCGTACGGATTCAGCTTTTCTTGTATATGAACGTCACAAGTACACCACAACCAATAAAACATTGTTATGTACCGTAGTAGGACAAAAACGTGAACAAGTTTCAGGACCTTCGTGCAGACTGTTTGTTAACCAACGTGTTTTCTTAAGTGAGTGGGAGGTGGAGGCTGTCTCTAACTGAACCAACTAACAAACGATTGAATCATTTAGCTACGTCTAAACACAAATTATGTTATGCAAATGTACTTTTACCCCTCCTTCAGTTATGTAAAGAGTATGATCAGCCTGTAAACTTAATTTGTCAAGGTATGAAAATATTGCCTTTGTAATTGTAACATTTAACAAAAATGTTTATTTGATATTTTATTTAAGTACTACATTTGAGTCTCGATATATTATTTTGCTAGGATATTACCACTTGATTATGTGCTAAAGCTGATAATTGCTTATAGGATACTATTAAATTTATACTGTCCTTTAAAATATATATATATATATATATATATATATATATATATATATATATATATATATATATATATATATATATATATATATATATATATATATATATATATATGTCAAGACAACAATGAATAATTAACTGATAAATTAACCACGTCTTAAATATAAAGAGTCATCGCCCCTCTCCAAAACAATAAAAAAATCAATTACATATAAGTTAGCTAATATGGTATTCTTATAAAGCAGCTTTGTGAGAAGAAAACAAAAATAAAAATGATGTCGACACTAATCAAGTCTAACAAACAACACGAAACTTAATCGGTGGGCGCTTTATGCTACGGAATACCTAGATCTTTGTTGTTTGCAGAGTGACTGAATTTATTAGCAAGTGTATACGAAGTTCGTGAGTTTCGGATGTTATTTCGAACTTTTCAACTGTAGATTTTTCACCTTTGTATTTCAGAAGTTTGCATGCTTCAGGTAGATTTTGAATATGTTCATGTCATTGGGCATACCATCCTTGGAAACCAATATAAGAACTCACAGAGCATTTTTTTTTGTCTTCTTGGACAAACAAATATGATTCAGTACTTCAATCACAATTTGTCGAAGTCGAGCATTGGTGTATCAAGCCGCAGACATGTAGCATCACGTCCCACCTCGTCACATTATCCTAACATTATCAGGCCGACCAATCCTGACACTAACTTCTTAATGCTGAGCGCCAAGCGAGGTAGCTGTTGGTACCATTTTTATAAGTCTTTGACCTACCTCATCCGAGGCTGAGGTGTACGAGACCAAATTCGTTAAGCAAAAAGAATTGAATCATTATCAATATGAACAAATATGTACAAACGTAGCTAGAAAGCTCTCGTGCAGTTAAAGTTCTAAACTTTGAACTATTTCTTTTATTATGTGGGATAAAGTACATAACTGTGTTGGTTAGGGAGCTGGCGATAGGTTTTTTAAAAGCGGCAAGTGATCAATTTCTGCTTAGAATTTTATAATCATGAAAGGTTTGATTATACTGGTTTCATAATTAGGTTAACATCAATCCTCTCAAAAGCACTGACTCCGGCAAGGAATAGTGTGTGTGTGTGTGTGTGTGTGTGTGTGTGTGTGTGTGTGTGTGTGTGTGTGTGTGTGTGTGATGGACTGACAAAGATAACTGTAAACACATGATACTGAATTTCGCAAAACCATTCTTGTAATTTGCCTAAAAGCTTTCGACTCTCAATGAAGATTTATCAAAGGCAAACTTACGAAACACAGGCACCAAGACAAACAATAAGTACAGAAGAAAATTTTAAATTTACGAAACTTTACAACTCTATTGATATGATGGATGTAGTATAGGACTGTTCCGGTGGCCGAGCGGTTATAGCTACCGCCTCGGATGCGGGAGGTCGCGGTTTCGAAAAATGGCCGAGTCATACCATTTACTTATAAAAATGGTACAATCAGCTGCCTAGATTGGCGCTCAGCATTAAAAGGTTAGTGTTAGGACTTGTCTGCCTGATGTCAGGATAATGTTACTGGGTGGAACATCATGCTACATATCTACGGCATGATCAGTGCCGGATTTAGACAAAGCGAGGCCCTAAGCTATGGGAAGCTATAGAGGCCATATTTGGTATAAAATAAATTTGAGGGGCCCCAAAGTCTGAACTCAGTCTGAAGGGCCTATTCAGACTGAGTTCAGACTTTGGGACCCTAAACTGTAGCTTGTGTAGCTTATGCCTAAATCCGGAACTGGGCATGATGCCTACGAACTACTACACTGCTGACATCGTAGCGATATGACTGAAAAATTGTTAAAGCTAGTTAAAAATCCAAATCTCTCTCTCTCTCTCTCTCTCTCTCTCTCTCTCTCTCTCTCTCTCTCTCTCTCTCTCTCTCTCTCTCTCTCTCTCTCTCTCTCTCTCTCTCTCCGATTATATATGATAAATGGCACAAGATCTTCAGATTAATATATACGCGCAGTTTTCAGAACTGCTTGCGCATGCTGAATTTAAACAAATTTAATATAAATGGTCGAATGTCATACTCCGCCTATTGTACGCGATAAACTGTTGCAGACCACATTTGAAATATTTCGTTGTCACATTGCGAAACAAGAAGACATGTATTATACACGTGTCAACGAAAGTAGTCACAAGGCTATTACTCTTCCACGCCAACAACTTGAAAGAAAAGGAGTATTGTGCTTGCACATTACAGTAATTTTCGGCAATGCACATTCGCATGCACTGAAAAAAATTCAAACCATGCGCACACCAGAAGTAAAATTACATAGAATCCTACTTTGTAGCGATATTATCTTATTATAATGCAACATACGAGACCACAGGAATTCTTACAAATAAATGTTACATTCTAATTTTTTTGAAAATTTAATGACACACGGTATTAATTATATGGAAGAACTGTGAACCAGTCTAGAAATGGGTGACGAAAGAATAGAGTATATACGGGTTTGGTTGTCCATAATTGGTTAATAATGAAAAGTTAAATTTTAGTAAATATATCTTTCGAAAGCTTATCCTATATCTAATTTAAAAACAATATAGACAAAATTATATTGATACAATTTTAGTATTTTGACAGACTTGACATAAGAGTAATCAATAATGACAGTAGCACTTGATTCGTTTGGTGCTGAATCAATAACATGTGTTTCATGCACATGTAGGTCAAAAATATGCCGCGTCTCATATGGTGTTGTCCACACAGAACCTTGCACCAAGGATAGTTGTGTATGGAGTAATATAGGTCTGATCATCAGTACTCAGAAATTTTAAGTTATTGAATCTTAAATATGATGTTGTTTCCATATGTTTACTATGGGAGTTGAATTAGTAGTCTTATAAAGAGGATTTCTAGCCCAAAATCCTACTTTGAACTGGACGACCATATAATTCTTCCCCCTCCATAGCCCCTCAAGTTAGTCTAAACAACTACGAAAACAAACTTCATTGAGACAACAAAATTTATTTCTTAATCGATTACCAACACGAGTACATGCAGCTGAATAGTAGCCGTCGTCAAACAAAATAGGGTTTGATAAAAAAAACCTTCCCTTTACATGTCTACTATTTAACACGAAACTGCTAGAAAAGTTTTATATCTGATATTTCACACAAAATTGAACTGCAAGCAGTCTGCGTCTTGCACTCTACTATATGTAACATGCACACGAAATTCCAATCCGCTATTAATAACTCACTGTGACTTGCAGGTCAAACTTCTGATAAAAATGATTGCGCTATTAACAACTCGCTGAAATTTTATACGAAATCTATTTACACACACGTTCTAAAGAGATTATTGTCTCCTTCGTATAGTTATATATATAAATTTCATCTGTATTTGTGTAAGAGCTCGGTAGCCATGTGGTTAAGGCGTACGGACAAACCTTAGATCGTCTAGTTGAAATTATTTCGAGCTTCGAGTCTAGAAAAACGTGATAGACATACTGTCTAGCGTTTCGCGACGGAAGCTAGCTATAACTGGGGGGAGCGGAGTGCCTTTAAGCATTATTAAAGACGAGATATACTTGTATGGGTAATTCTACAGTTGTTTTTTTTTAAAAAATAGTAATTTACGGGTGCAACTCGCCTGGCACCTCCGAACCTCAAAGCGCCCAGAGTTCGCTTAGTTGGTGCATTTTATTTCCAACTCTCGCTCTTAGCGATCCAACAATTGCAAAATTGAAAATCAGCATGAATCTCTAAATTTTCGTTTCGCACTTAGCGATTCACAAGAGGGTATGATTACGCACAATGGAAAATATGATAATTACCCAATATAAGAGATATCCAGTGCCATTCAGCCTGGTCGTCAGGTACTCCATTTTGCCATTTATTCTACAGTATGGTGATATTTCGCACAGAATGTTTACTATTCTTATTTTTGCCATCGATTTTACGTAAAATTTACTGAATGCTGTTTCCAGTATTTCGCATCTCTTTCCGGTATCATATCTACGAGCAAATCGTCTGTGACTCGCAGTTCCTTATCAGATCTAGCATTAGAAACTTTTTACCTCTGAGAAAAGCTCGAAGTTGCTTAAGAATATATAACTCTCTATCACTATTTAACATAAGGTATTTTTATTATCGAATGATTCGACGCCATGCTTAACATACTTGTCATAATATCATCGGATTTTGCTATTCGTGGTGCAATATTTTTTGCTATTTATCGTCTACGTAATTCTTATTTGTTAACCGATGATGGAGTTGCTATAGCTGTTATCTTATTCGATCCCATATCCAGATTTCCCACCATATTACCACCTGATTTTATTACAAAGTTATCCTTGAAAAACTTTACATTTTTTACAGATTATTCTTTATCAAAGTTGTATTATCAAGTTGAGAATTAAATATTAATTGTCCACTCATATAGATATTTCCAGTCATCGTCCCACCAGATAATAACATCTTATTATTATCTACCTCTTATTAGTTATTTATCTTAGTAGGAGGTATCCAATTTCAAGATTTACATTTTGTTTTACTCACTATTTTGTTTTACGTTCTATTGCTAACAATATTAAGTCCGGCAAAACTTACTGCTCGTGAGTTATCTGAGTCGATAGGTGGATATGTTGTCTCAAGGTCTAGCACTCGCTGACCGGACATACTTAAGTTACCGGTCATCTTTCCACCAGTTATTGACAACATACTATTACTGTTAACGTTAATATGAGCAAATCTCACTGCTTTTAATGTTATCTAGGCCAATAGATGGATATATTGTTACGTGATCTTTCCAACCGTTATAGACAACTTACTATTACTGACATTAAGTTGTACAAATCTTATAGCTTGTGTGTTGATCACGTTGACAGAAGAATATATTGTTTTAGATCTAGTACTCGTTGTCCTGACATGATAAGTTTTCTGGTCATTGTGCGACTGGATCGCTAAAGATAATTTATCAGATTAACATATGTAATTGTAGTTGGTGTTGTTTCAGCAGATGAACTAATGATTAACGTACCAAATTTTGTCTATTAGCTCATGCTATTGTAGTTGTTGCTGACAAAATTTTGTGTACATGTCATACGATGAGCATAATAACCTTTGACACAGAACGAGTACTAAAAAATAAATATAATTTTGAGTTACCAGATTGTCATTATCTGTTATAGGACGTACTGGATATGGCAAAACAAACGTGTTAATGAACTTGCTACTCAACGACAGATTCAACTATGATCGGGTGTATACAATAAATCCCCAGCAGGACAAATATGAGTTGCTGAACGAGTACAACGAAAAGCTAAAATATGAAGTTGTTGCTGGCGAAGATATAACTGTTATCAAGCCACCAAAAGATCTTGTTCATATTGCCGAGCTGGACTCAGAAAAACATAAGAGTATTGTTCTTGATGACATCATGTTGAGTAATATTGAGAGGGACTAGATAAAATCTTATTTTTCATTGTCAAGAATCCGAAGATGTAACGCACTTTATCTTTCTCAAGGTTTTCATAACGTTGGTCGTTTTATCAGAAGGAATATGTTTTTTTGTTTTATATTGTTTATTGGACCTGACAATATTGATGTGCAAAAGACAGCACGAAAACAATGCGGTGATGTTTCCAGAGACCAATTTGTTGGCCTATATCATGAGGCTGCTCATGGAAATCACAGTTTTTGTTTAATTCAATAAAATTGCAAGAGATACCAAGTACATGTTCCAATGCGGAACTGACAGGTTCTTTGATTATACAAAGTATAACATTAATGTTTTAATCACGATATTTGACAAGCGCGGGTAAATCTTCTAACGAAATACGTGGCTACAAGAGCTGCGTTGAGCAATAATATTGCTGGACAACAACAAACCGCAGACGAAGCTTCAAGACTCTTTAAGCGTCTCAAGAATCTGTACTTGGCAAGCAACCAGATATTGACAAAGTACCACCTGATGATATAGAAAAATATTAAGAAAAAGGTCTGAGAGGACTACTTGAAAAAGGACAAAAGAAAATTGCTGCGGATTACGTTGACCGAATTGGAGATCGTGATGCACAACAAGCCAAGAGTTTATGAAAAGTAAGCGAAAAGGGTGTTTTATTTTGCAAGCAGATTAAAGAACATGAAAAACAAAAGAATCTCGAGGAAGCAAACAAAGAAAAATAATAGAAAATCATAAAAACACTATAATTTTTTTAAGAATATTTTGCATTTGAGGCTAAAAATAAAAATGATAATTTAAAAATACATGAAAAAAAGATAATGGACTAAATATGAAAATGATTCTATTTTAAAAATGTAAATATTGTAATATCAAAAGCTCATGAGGCTAGAATGGTTTAGATTACGCAACTGAAACTGACGATGCAATATTTCGACAAGAGGTGTTATTGCTAAGATATATCTGGAAGTTTTTGATAGTGTTTCTGGATCTGAAAAAGGTT